AGTCAGGGCTCTTTGGAGTATTGAAATGGACAACAACAACAATAATAGAGTACTTAAAGATCTGCAAAGCCATTTTACATTTATTATATCACTGGTTCTTCACGACAACCGTGTGCCATACTTCCATTTTACAGATGTGGAAACTGAGGCAGACAGTAGTTTTTAGGGACTTGCCCAGAGTCACCCAGTTCCTAAGTATCTGAGACAGGATTTGAACTCAGGGCTTCTGGACTCCAAGCCTGGTGCTCAATCCCCTGCATTTCTTATCTGCTCTATAAAGTACTACACTGAGAGTTTGGAAACCTGGGTTCAAATTGCCCCTCTACCACTGTTACCTCCCCTTTGTTAAGCTTTCTTCTTTGAGCTGGACTAAATTACCTTTAAGGTCTCTTTTAGCTCTTTTCTTAGCCTTCATTATGAACCTGAGCATGAGACAGGAAGGCATTGAAGAAACCCTTGTGGATAGACTGGTTGCCCAAGAAATTCATGGCTCTTATCTCATGTCTCTGTATAAGTGACAGAGAGAGCAGGCCTAGATGGTGAGAACATCTTTCTGAATCCCAGACTGGCATGTCCAGGGCACTCTCAGACTCTCTGTCCACTGAGCTTCACTGCCTCTGTAATGGGGAGTCAAGTTTGGGGTAGAATCTCTGTTCTGCAGGTGGACCTCTTCCCAGGATTAGAGGCTGTCAGAGGCATTTACCTCTGGTCCCAGCACAGAAACCAATGGAACATTTTCTTCCCTGTGAGTTCAAATGGCTGATGGCTGTCCCCCTTCCGAGCAGAGCCCCTTACAGATTTGATAAGAGCAGTTGATGTCCATGTACTGGACTTAACTCAAATTTGAATTAACATTCTGTCTTGTTTTCATGTCTGGTACATAATGTTCCCTGTACCCACACATACTATACTCCAGGTCCCAACTAGATTAAAAAACTAGATATTTTGGGGGAAAGCAGCTCAAAGCAATTTTAAAAGAAAAATCTAGTTCAAATGTAACATTCAGGCATTGCCTTCATCTCTCAGCAACCACTGATAAGGCAATAAAAAAGCAAAGCCACTTTGATTAAAATTAATGGGATTTTAAACTAGGAAAGTTATCCATACACTAAGATTCCAAAAGTAAATGTGTAAATTCTGTATCTTTCTTTCTCAGCATGAAATAGTAAGCTTTCATTTCAAAAGTAAACACAATTACATCATTGGAGAGTTGGCAGGAAGGAACCTCAGTGATTATCTCATCCAAACCATGCCCTCCCCCCAAACCCCCATTGTAACATATACAACAAGCAGTTGTAAATTGATTGAAGATATAAGAAGTACTCCCTTTGGTCCCACAAAGGCACACTTAGGGGTCTTCTCAACTTGGATATAGGGAGGTCGGAAAAGAGAGAGACACATACCTTGGAGACATGGTGAGGTCCTTGCTGGAGAGACTACTGCTATGGGGTGAGGAAAGTCCTGAAAGAGCTAACTTGGGGGGTTATTATGAGTAGGGAGGAAGAGTGCTATCTGATAGTTTCCTGTATGCGTGAACAATTCTTGCTAATGAGCTGTTAAGATCAACTGTGAAAGTGCTATCAGCAGAATGTAAATTTCAGAACCCTGGACCAAAAAACCCCACTATGGTTATAGCTCTATATACACCCAAAGAAATGGATGAAGGTAGAGGGGGGAAAGGTAACCTGTGCATAATGTAGGTATCTATCCTTCACCTTAAAATTTTTTTTAAAAATAATTTTTGTTGCTATAAGCTCTGTGCTGGCTTCTGCACACATTGCCTTTATATCTTTTTTGTTGTCTGTGTTCTACTCCTACCCAAATTTAATTCACTGTTTTTTCTTCCCAGATCCCAGTTTTCTCTCTTCATCTTAGCTTTTCTATTCCACTGGGAAATTTCCCAGGTAGGATGTTCCCAGACTCAGTTTATGGCTATTAGTCATGCTTTTCATGATAGATGAAGAAGAAGTAAGTTGCCCCTAAGCTTATACATGAATATTTAAGTATTAAAATGAATGAGCAAGGAGATTATAACTAGGCTGAACTAAGCCTTATTCATTCATTGATTTATCTATTTATTTATTTATTCACTCATCCATTTATTTGTTTGTTTGTTTGCAAAGTCCAGTATCTTGGAGCTACTGTAATATAATCACACATGTTGGGTCCCCTAAATGGGGGACACAGAGGAGCCTAAAGCACACATCACCAACCTGCTGCTTTTTCTTTTCCTCCCGAAGTGTCCAATCCTGAGGACAGGATGAAATCCTGAATCCTGAATCCTTAGGCACAGGTAACATTAGTAAAAACTAAAATAATTAAAATAAATCAAGGTTCCAAATAGCTTCATGAAGGCAGCCAGTCTCTTGCAAACAGGCTTGACAGGAATTCAAACCAGAACATCTGGTTTCCAATTCCATTCCTGTATGACCTATGAGGCCAAGTTGAATCTTAGCCTCCTCCTCTGTCAAATAGATTCCATGACCTTGAAGTTCTGATCCTGTGATACCTCTGGGCTTGTTTCCTCATGTGTCAAATGGTGTGAGAGGTTGGCCTCGATGATCTCCAGAACCCCTTCCAGTTTTAAATCTTGTTCCTTCTAAATTCTATAGGTCTATCAACCTCCCATTTTAAAGTGTTCTTCAGAATTTTCAAACATCTTAAAGAAATTGTTCTATCTCCTTTTCCATTTTAATAAAAGAAAATAGAACAAATAGTAAAGTATATTTAATTCTCTTATTAGTGGCTGTTTAGAGTCACTTTTCAGAGAAGCTAAGAGAACCTTACTTTTTGCGTATTTCTTGCACAAATACAACATGCAGTGAAAAGCAGTATCCTTTAGATGAAATATGTCACAGGAACAGATCGAAATATGTTGTTGTTCAATTGTTTTGACTCTTTGTGAGTCAAGGGTTTTCTTGGCGGAGATACTGGAGTGGTTTGCCATATCCTTCTCCAGCTTATTTCACCTATGAGGAAACTGAGGTTAAGTGACTTGCCCAGAGTCATATAGCTACTAAGTGTCTGAGGCCAGCTTTGAACTCACAAAGATTATTCTTCCTGATTCCAAATCTAGTGCTCTATTCACTTCACCACCATTAATCTTCAAAAAGTGTAATCTGAGGTGTGTGTGTGAGTGTGTGAATGTGTGAGATTGCAGAGCAGAGCTGGAGTCTAGAAAACCAAGATTAGATCTGACCTCAGAGATTTAGTAGCTGTGTGACTCTGAGGAAGTTACTTAACTTCTCTGGGCCTCAGTTGCCTCATCTGTAAAATTAGGGGGAAAAACTTCACAGGTTTGTTATGAAAACAAAATGAGATAATTTGTGTGAAGGGCTTTGTGAGCCTCAAAGGGGTATATAAGTTCATGGCAGCTATTATTATTATTATTATTAAGGTAAAAAAAAAGACACAGTCAAGTCCAATCCAACTATCATTTATTAAACACCTACTATGGGCAAAGCATTGTGCTGGATGCTGGGGCTATAGAAATTTAAAAAGCAACCAACCAAGCTGACCTCATAGAACTTACACCCAGTTTGGGACCACCCTCCATCTTAAAGGTGAGGAGGTGCGGTCGCGCTCTGATAAAAGCAGCTGTGGTATCTGAACATTGGAAGCGTTCAGCCAGACTTTGCCTTTTCAGTAGGCACTATCGCTCTTGCGCCGGCAGCATTCTGGGAGTTGTAGTTGTGTGCGCAGGAGCTCAGCCTGCTTTGCCAAATCCTGAACTCTGCCAGGGTGACCAGAGCTCCAACAGGTGTGTAGTGGCGATGAGGGTGCGCAGCCCGGCTCTGCTCGGGTTTCTGCCGTTGTGAAAAAGAGATTCCCATTTGAGCACCTTGAGAAAAAGATTCTCCGAACTGGTTAACCTTAAGTGACTGTACCTGGCTTTGTAGCTGGCTAGCAGCGTCACCCAGGGGCTGCGGCTCCTGTTCCCCAGTGGCTGTTGGAATCCCCAGCTTTTTCCCATGGTTTCCAACCCACCCAATGAGTCAAACATCGCAGGCCTGCCCGACTGGGTTCCTGGGGCTCGGGAGACGGAACGCGTTTACTTGTTCTCTCCCAGGGTACAAAGTGCACCTCAGTTACAATCTCGTCAAGTTCCCAGGGGGTACCTGCTCGGTCACCGTCACGGTCTCAGAGGCACCTGTCGCGGTATGGTAGAGCAGAGGCAAAGGCTGCGGGGTCAGACGCTAGCGTAGGAGAGGGGACAGTCTGCAGCCAACGTCTGCTGATTTCTGCTCCAGCTCCTTCCAGGAGCGCTTTGGAGGAAAGGCCAAGTTAGAGCAGGATGGGACGGACCAGGGGAGCTCTTGGCTAGGAAAACTGGGGCGGGGGGAGGCTTGGGGAGGTCTGGAGGTGAAGTAAAAACTTTTGTCAGCTGTGAAAGGGGTCAGTGGAACTCCGGACAGCCAACTCCGTCGGACCCTTCAGGGGAACGTGAAGAGCAGAGCAAGTTGCGGACAAAGTTGGTCCCAGTAGGAGCTAGGCAAGGCTAGGACGCTCGGCCGGTGTTGAGGCTGCGGTTTCGGGAGAAGCGCAGCTCCTCTCACCTCTTGACAAACAGGGGTCCAGGAGGTGAAGAGTGACACGGCGAGGGCTGGGGTTTGCTTGCTCCCACGCGTCAAGGAAGTTTTTGGCCTCGCCAAAGAGGCCGTAAAGGAGGCACGGGAGGAGGTGAGGGAGAGAGAGGACAGCTAACTAGAGGGCGAAGGGGCATTCTCACTCATTCCAGGGGGATGCCACTCCAGACCCCCGACGGGCACCCTCACACATCACCTTGGAGTCCTGATCTCCCAGCTACACCCGGCACGGAGTGGAAGGGAAGAGGAGGAGGGGAGGAGGTACTAGTAACGTTCTGGCAGCCCAGGAAAGGGGCGGAGGCGGTAAATGGTTGGGGTGGTAGTCATCGGAACGTGATCGCCCAAGGGCCCTCCTGCAGCCACTGGGGAGGTGGTTTTTTTTTTTGTGTGGGGGAGCGGAGAGCCATAAAAGCCCCGGCGTGGCACAGCTCCGACCCAGAGCTGAGAACTCACTCCGGCTGAGAAGAAGAGCACAGAAGCATCATCTCCTTACTTAGACAGGACCACCATCCACCGTAAGTCTACCCTCTCCACCCCAGCTTACCTGCAGCTGGCTCTCTCTGGCAGCCCTCCCTCAGAGGGCAGAGCGGCTGAACTTTGGAAGGATGATTCCTCGGAGCTGCTTCTTTCTCTCTAGATTTCCAAGTCTTGGTTATCCGAGTAGCTTCTTTGTTTTGCGTCCCCCTCTCCCTGTCCCCGCCCCCCTTTCTCATCTAGCGTAAGTTCCCAGCTCTATCGAGGACACCTCTGTCCGGTCTGGGAATTTCCTACCATAGAGCCAATTTTATGAGCCCAGAAAGGTCAAAGTGAGATTTCAAGGGTGGCGTGTGTGTGTGTGTGGGGGGGTATTCCCTTTCTTCACCCAAGTTTCCATTTCAGGGTCCTGCTTGACCTACAAGGCTCACCCTAGGAGGTTTCTTTCCACCTCTTGGGGGAGAGGGAGAAATCTGAACCACTGCGCAAAGGACAGTCTGTCCCGACTCCCCCCCCCCAAAAAAAATCAAGAGACACTGATTAGACGCCCACTGTGTGCAAAACATGCTTAGTGGATGTCTGGGCTGAAAGGTGTCAAGAGGGAGGTGTTTTTGCTTTGGGGGTTTCCCATGATTATCTTTTTAACTTTCCAGTTGGGAACAGGGTGGGAAGGAGACCAGGGAGGAGCCCCTTGCGTTACCGTGGTCCTTGTAGCCTCGGCTTTTCCTAGACATGGACAGTCTGAACTGCGCATTTGAGGGGCCCGGGGCTCTGTCCCTGCGTCCCGAGCCCGCTTGCTCCCAGCACAGCCAGCTGTGCACCTCGGATTCTGAGCTTCCTCCTTCACTCCTCTTAGCAAACATAGCAGGTGGGTAGTGGAGCAGATGCATCTCGGCAGAAGCTTGGAGTAGGGCCAGGGAGGTGCGCTGACTCGGAAGAAGAGCTGGGACGAGCCAGCCCGAGAGAGCCCGACCTGTAGCAGAAAAAGTTTCTAGTAGAGTGAAAAGAGTGTTCGATTTGGACCCAGAGGATCCAGTTTCAAATATTGGCTCTGCTGCTTCCTAATGTGTATGCCACACGTCCTGGCTAGTTGACCCTGAGCGAGTCACATAGGTTCTTCCTATTCCCAGGTAACTCAGCAAGGCCAAACTGGCTGGAAAGGTGCTGACCTGTTATTGGTAGAGGGAGTTCCTCACAGAGACCTCCCCACTTTGTTCAGTCGTTTATTAACAGTGTCTGACTCTTTGGGACCCCTGCGGACCATATTGTCCATAGGTTTTTTGGTTTTTGGTTTTTTTTTTTTGGCAAAGATACTAAGGTGGTTTGCCATTTCCTTCCCCAGGTGAATTAAGACAAACTGGTTAAGTGACTTGCCCAGGGTCACACAGTTAGTATTTGAGGCCGCATTTGAACTCAGGCCCACCCCTGTATCAACTGAGCCATCTAGCTACCTCCCCACCTACTCGGGACCAAACCACAACTTCCATCCCCCACCCTCAACACACACACACACACACACACACACACACACACACACACACACACACACACAGAGTTAGCCAACCTTTTAGGGCCTTTGTTTCCTGGCCTGTAAAATAAAAAGGGTTGGCCTAGATGATCTCCTAGACCCTTCCTAGCTCCAAGTCCTCAACCTTATTTAGCAAAGAAATAGGAAGCCCCAGGCTCCTCAAATACCGTTTCCCTCCTGACTCCAGACTTCAAAGTTTTGCCAAAGTTCCCATTACCCTGGAGCAGGAAGAGTAGGCTAAAGCAGACATTCATTGTAACCCGGAGGGGTCCTGCTGGACTGTGGGCTCAGGGCTGTTGCGTGGGGGTGGGGCACTAAGAGAATTGGCTTGAGGGAGATGAAAAGGGAGGGCTACAAGGGAGGAAGGGGAATCTCTGTTCCCTTTAACCATACCAGGAGACTTGTCCATCCAGCATCCTTTCCCTGTGCTGTCCAGATGGAGAGAAGCAGGCGGCTGTGGCTGTATGTACTGACCTGTGCCCTATCTCTGCTCATCGGCCTGGAGACCTTGGCTGAGTCTTACCCATCCAAACCTGACAGCCCCAGGCAGGACTCCCCACCAGAGGACTTGGCCAGATACTACTCAGCTCTGCGGCACTACATTAATCTCATCACCCGACAGAGGTAGGAGCCAGAGCGTGGAGTCGGGGCATCTGCTGCCCCAGAGGCACCCACAGTCAGGGCCCCTCCAACTTCTCTACATTCCCCCTTTCAGCCCACTGGACTTCAGGATCATTCTTCCTGTGGAGGGCGCAGCTCCTTTTCTCCAATGCTCAGGTTTCTTGTGCCCAAGAAACCTGGCCAGGGGAGAGAACGAGGCCAGATTGGAGAAAGGAAGGGAACCAAAGGGAGAAAATACAGAAAATGAAGCACTGAGGGGGGGGAGGGGGCAAAAGGCAAAGCAGATTTCTCCCTTTGTGGAGGCAGCTAGGTGGCTCAGTGGATAGAGCCCCAGCCCTGAAAGTCAGGAGGACCTGAGTTCAAATCTGACCTCAGACCAAACACTTGACACTTACTAGCTGTGTGACTGGGCAAGTCACTTAACCCCAAATGCCTAACAAACAAACAAATTTCTCCATTTGTCCCAGGCTCCAAATGAAGGAACTATATAGAAAAAGCTTACAAAAAGAATTTTCTTCTAATAGATTCTAGCAGAAGTCAGCTTCTCCCAGCAATGCTATGTCTAGATTCAAGATCTGACTCTGAAGTTACTGTCTGTGTGAACCTGGGCAAGTCACTTAACCTCTGTATGTCACTTTTCTCATCTATTAAGTGGGAATAATAATAGCACCTACCCCTCAGGTTTGTGAGGATGAAATGAAATACTATTTGTAGAGTACTTTGCAAATCTTAAAGCACTGTGTAAATACTAATGATTATAATTGTTATTATGTAAATCTCCTAGACTATATATTGCAAAGTTGTTGGTGCCCTGCAGTGGTACAGTTTTCTATCTTAGTGAAATTACAGGTCTTGTTCTGATCCTAAATTCTGGCAAGGGTTTTGCCTGATGAGGAAAATGAGGCCCGGAAAGATGAAGTGATGTGCACACAAGTAGTAAGTAGGAGAAGCAGGATCTGAACCCATGTCTTCAGTCCACTTTTCCATGGCACATCCTGATTTTTTTTCATGTTCTTTCAACTTGATTCTTTGATTCTCACAAGAGACCTGTCCCTGGAAAGCAGTTAAGTTGGAGATAAAATCCAGGTCCCTCCTTCTCCTTTTAAAGACCCAACTCTGGGTCCAAGGAGTCCTATAGGACATGAGTTCATACTTTATCCATTAGAAAATTGGGGCTGCACTTTCAGGCTACCAATCAATCTATAAATCAATCAATCAGTATTTATTAATTGCCTACTACGTACCGGGCCTTATGCTAATTCCAATATTTTGTTCCATTTTCATGTTGACATTTGAAAGGTCTAAATACTTCTACCCATATGGTGGAAAGAGCATTTTAGTCAAAAGAGTGACCACAATTAATTGATTTCTTTGGGCTCACCTTTAAATAAAAAATCTTGTCTGGTCAAATTCCCAAAACAATGGGAAATAATTCTAGAACTCAGAACAGAAAGCAGCAGCAAACACAAAGCTAAGCCTGTCCTAGCACACCTTCTGCAGGCCAGTGGCTCTGATGGTGGGTAGCTGAGGTATTATGGCCATTTTGCTTGAGACTCAACTGAGTATATAATCCTAGGAAGTTGCCAGAGGCTTAGAGGTTAAGTGACTAATCCAGAGTCACATAGCTGGCAAGTGTCCTAGAGTATCAGAGGAAGGGCTTGAACCCAGAACTTCACACCCAATGGCACCATATTACCTGGAAGAGGGAATGCTACTTGTATACAGAGTATTCTTGACAAGGTGACTTATTGTCTTTTTTTTTTAATAATTGGAAATTGATTCCAAGCTAGTTCAATTGTTTTTTCCTTATAAGGTTCTCTCTCTATCCCAATAAAAATGGGATTCAGCAAGGCTTTTGAATCAATCCCAATGTATTTAGCATTCGAAATGGAGAATAACACAATGAAATCATGTGTCTAGGAGTCTGCAAAATTATAAGAATTTAATATGGGATCATCAGTTTGAGCTAGAATCAATCAATCAATGTACACTTATTAAACAGCTATTTTGTTAGGTACTGGAGAATAGAAAGAAAAAATAAATAAAACAGGCTCTACCCTCAAGGAGCTTATACTCTAATGGATCATATAGAAGTATGGGCAAAGATATAGAAGGGACCTCAGAGGTGGTCTAGTTTAGTCCAACCCCTCATTTATTGATGGGAAACTGAGGCCCAGAAAAGTGAAGTGATGTACACGCTTCATACAAGGAAGCACAGATGGTAAGTGATAAAGAAAGGAGTCAAACCAAGATGCTCCGGCTCCCAATAAAGCAATAATATTGTTTACACTAAGCAGTTTCCCAGAAAGCTAATAATTTCATATTCGAGGGGAAGGAACAATGTGGAAGATAAAACAGCCGGAGAAAGCAAAAGGCATTTTGTTAATAGCTGTAATCTTTTCTAGGAAATTGCCTTAGCTTGCTACTGAAGCTTATTGAACATATTACAAAAGAACTTTTTTTTGGAGAAAAAATTGTCTTCTGATTAGAGTTAAACAAATATAGTATTTTGCTATATATTTATTATATTATATATGTACAATTATCCTATTATCAATAGGAGCCACATACTGAAAAATGAATAAATATATTTCATTTGCCTGGCAGCCTAATGGAGAGAGTGGTAGCCTTACGGTCAGGAAGATCTGGGTTTAAATGCTCCTTCTATCCACGTCTGTGTGACCCTGGACAAATTATTTAATCCTTCAATGTCTCAGGCAACTTTAGGATTTAGGTGGTGTCATAATGCATGGAGCATCAGGCCTGGAGTCAGGAAGACCTGAGTTCAAATTGACTTCAGACACTTACTAGCTGTGTGACTCTGGACAAGTCACTTAACCCGTTTGCCTCAGTTTCCTCATCTGTAAAGTGAGCTGGAGAAGGAAATGGCTAACCACTCCAGTGTCTTTGCCAAGAAGACCCTGTACGGGGTCACGAAGAGTTGGACATGACTATATAGCAACAACAAAGTCAGAGACTGTAATGGTCTAAGGAGTTGCTGAGACCAGGAGTTCCCCAAGCTAATGAAACCACAAAAATATTTCCTTATATTGGGTGGACATTTTAAACTTATATTATTTCTTCTTTTAGATATGGAAAACGATCCAGCCCAGAGACCCTGATCTCAGATCTCTTGTTGAGAGAAAGCACAGAAAACCTTCCTAGATCCAGGTATGAAAAGGGTTTAATTTTTTTTAAAACATCAGTTCTCTTTGTGTATGACCTAAATCTAGTGAAATAAAGTCATGGTGTTTCTCATAGACATCTCATGTTGCTTTTCCTGATCCTCTCCCCACTCCTCAGCTGAAAACCCCTCTTTTCCTTCTGGCACGATCTGTAAAGGATTTGTGATGATTTCATTTGACAAGATACTTTAAGAACAGTCCAAAAGAAAAACAAATGCAAATTCAGTTGTAGTTTTAAAATAGGTTAAAACTCGGTTGTCACTAGTACTGGTGTCATGTTGAAAGTGATGTTAGAGGGATGGGATGCATGCATATCTATGTAGGTGATGACAGTAAGAATGAGAGTAACATAGCAAGTCCAGAAAATCCCATGATGTCGTTCCCAAAGACAATAAAGTCTCAGGCAACCAACCTCAGCCCCGCTGGTGTTTGTGCATGCATCTCTAGGAGCTGAGATCACAGAGCAATGACGGTAGGGTTTTTTCTGGTCTTAGGGAAGTCTATGGAGCTTGAGGGGCAAAGGTTCCAATTGTGTATATTTATATCGATTTAAAAGAGCCTTCTAGGATGTGAGGTAGCAGCCTTCAAACCATCTTCCAGGCTGAGTTTGTCTGCCTGGTCCTTTATCCTGGACTTTCTTATGAAACGCACTGAGACTACTAAGTAGCCCCAGGAAACAGCCCAGGCCGACCGCAGCTCTCCGCATGCCCGGTGGCCAGGAGCGGGGAGGGAGCAGAGTCCTGTTGAGAAGGAAGCTGGAGTGAGCATGCCGAGGATCAAAGAACAGGGTGTAGCTGGGTGCCTGCGTGGTAGTGTATGACTATACGGCAGAATGTAAGTGCTCTGAGGGCAGGGACTGTTTCTCCTTTTGTCTCTGGGGCCCCTAGCACAGAACTCAGTGCATAGAAGGAACTGAAAACATGTTTGTTTGATTGTAATGTACCGTTAAACTGTTTCTCCTTTTAACTGGAAAGGAAGTCAGACTTAGGATTAGAAGACTTGTCTAAGTGGACAGCGCTTTAATGTAAAATATTAAGTCTAGTGATAGAATTTCAGGTTCAGTTGGTGGGCCAGTGGAGGAAAGGTCTTTAGGCAAGGTCTCCTACAACTCCCTAGAAACCAGAATAATTCCTACCCCCATGACATGATAACACCCCTCCCCCCCCACACGTCTGTGTGTCTCTCTATTGATCTATCTGTCTGTCTGTCTATTTCCCTGTCTATATCCACACATGGGTCTGGATGACTCAAAGAATCTAGGTTTCCATTTTTTGCATTCTCCAGGGAGCAAATTAGAAAGTAATCAAGTGAAAGCATGAGCAAGAAACTATGAAATGATTTAAACTTTTAAGAAAACTTGTCCCCATCAAATACCAGCTTGGGGAAAGAGTTCTTAGTGAAAAAAAAAGGTTAACTTCTTAGCTTTTTAATTAGTAAGCAATGATTTGTCTCCTCCAAACTCTAAATATTTGTGAGAACTGAGTGAGGTGGGAGGAAAGTCGAGGTCAGAAGCTCTGGGACTGAATCCTGGTTTTACTGCTTAATCTCAGTCTGACTTTGGGAAGTCATTCACTGCTCTCGGCCTCTCAGTTTCTGCATCTTTAACATGAAGTGGGCAAACACAACAATCTTGAAGGCCACTTTTGGCTCTAGGTCCTGTAAATTACCATTAACCTAACACTTTTAGGTTAAATTTATCCCAAGCTTTAAAAACTAGTTAAATATGTATATATCTATATCTATATCTATATCTATATCTATATCTATATCTATATCTATATCTATATCTATATCTATATCTATATCTATATCTATATCTATATCTATATCTATATCTAAAACCTAATAATAGAGACAGCTAGGTGGAGCCACAGTGCATAGAGCATAGACCTGAGCTCAAATCTAACCTCAGACTAGCTGTGTGACCCTGGGCAAGTCACTTAAACTCCTGTCTGCTTCAATTTACTCATATGTAAAATGGGGATGATAATAATAGCACCTATCTCCCAGGGTTGTTGTGAGAATCAAATGAAAAGCTGTTTATAAAGTATTTAACGCAGTGCCTGCACAAAGTAAATGCTATATAAAAATGCAATCATTTATTTATTTTTTATAATTATCATTATTATTCAACAAATGGGCATATTCAGTTTGAGATTCCAGCGTACAGAATAAACACATTATTATTGTTAAACTTGGGGAAAAGACAGTAAATTGGGATATTAAAGTGAAAGTTTTCTGGGATACATAGGGAACCATTTTTTCATATCTGAAGGGCCGTTGTGTGGAAGAGAGGTGAAATTTGTTTGGTTTGGCCCCAGAAGATAGAGCCAGGAGGAAAAGGTAGAAGTTCCAGGATTGTAGGTTTAGGCTTTGATAGAAAGAAAAAAGTTTCTAACAATTAGAACTATCTCAAAGTGGAACTGTCCAAGCAGGTAGTAAGCTCACTGTCACTTAGGGGTCTTCAAGCAAAAGCTGAAAACCCACTGGTTAGGGATTCAATCCGTTTCAGATACAGGTTAGGCTAAATGACCTCTGAAGTCCCTCTTAGCTTTGAGAATCAGTGATACTGTGAAAAGAACAGACTGTAAATACTACCTTATCCCAGCAAGTTGACTTACAGTCTTTTCTCCCATAATCCCTTGAAGTTCTCTGCATTTTGGGTGCCCTTTGAAAATCTCAGGTACTAAAAGATTAGCCCCCAGGCATAGTTCTGTTCTGCTCATGAACTTCAGACTCAAACCTCTAAAAGACACAATAAAGAGTCTCCCTGTGGTGCTAAAGACAGAATGAAAGGTTTGTGGGAAAATATAGTGACTGGTTCTTTAATCACTAAAAGACCCAGAATGGAATACTTGGATGAGCACTGGACTAGCAGTCAGATCTGAGTTCTATTCCTATGGCCTAAGGCAAAGCAAGGAAGTCACTTCAACCCACGAGCCTCAGTTTCCCCATCTGTAAAATAGAGCTAGCTGTTAGGCTCCATCCGACTCAAGAGTCCCATAGTTCATATGGAGAATACAAGTTTAGGCTATGTGAAACAACGTACCAGATCATAAGCTCCTAGAAAGCTCCCTTAGCACTCCAAATCATTGTATATAGTTTTTTTGAAATTTCTCACTGAAATCTAAAGAATCAAACTCTAGGGCCACATTAAGAAATAATCACTAATATTTACATAATGCAAGAGGTCTCCATCTACAGACAAGGAAACTGAGCTTTACAGAGGTTAATTGGCCTGCTCAAGGTCACACTGCTAAGAAAAGGAAGAATTAGGACCTGAACCCAGCTCTTTCCAATGCCAATGATATTTCTGCTATACACACAAAAATATAGCAATGACATGCATGAAGACAGAGTCAAAATGGATTCATCCACTAGGGAGTTGAAACTCAATGTCAGGGCTTTACAAATTAAATAAAAACAGTAATAATTATTATGACTGCCAGAGAAGGGAGTGGGAAATTTAAAAAAAAAATCCTTCCCTTTTTCTATTCTACTTTGCTTGAATTTGGGGCAGGGTGGGGTGGGCAGTCCTAGAATGAACCTACCACTTTAAGATAAAACGATCAGATTCTAGATTGGGCCAGGACAGGCCTGTATGTTGGACAATTTCTAATGGATGAGTGAATGGTCATTGCAGGATTTACCTCTGACAAATCCAACTCCAACTGTAGACAAACAGAAGTTTTGGAATTCTCTGTGAATGATGAGGGGTAAAGCTAGAAGACACTTTAGAGATCTTCTAGTCCAATCCCCTCATTTTACAGATGAGGAAACTGAGGTCCAGAGAGTAATGACTTGTCCAAAGTCAAACAGATAGCACATGGCAGGGGTAGAATTCAAACCCAGGTCCGTGGACTCCTAAGCAGACGTTCTTGCTTAGAACCCTGCCTATTGCTTAGAGAATGGAGCCAAGCTGGGAAAAGGATGTGCCCAAGGGTGTAAGAGCAACCTCAGGTCTTCTGACTCCAAACCCAGTGCTTTCTCCAGTGGACCATTTATTCTCACTTACAGATGATGCCCTCGCTCTCCTACCTTCAGCTTCCCACTATTTCTCCCCAACAATCCTGGTCCAGACCTCCATTAGTTGCCATTCATAACATCAAGAACTAAGTTACCAGGAGAGGGCGCTGCAACCCCTCTTTTTCTGTAGTTGCATAGCAGTTCTACCATTGCCATGATTTCTTTCCAAAGTGAACTGCACTAAGTGGCTGTGATGACTTTGAGTTGAGCCAGGCACCTCCTTTCACCCAGTACCCACCAATTAGCCTTGACCAGGGTTAAGGGCACAGTATATGACTTTTGTTTGTGTGAAACTGACATGCTGTCAATTAACTGAGCTCACCCATTCAGTCTGAGATGAGGAGACTGTTGATCTCCAAATGTATGTAAAGTAACAAAGGATTTGTTGGAGAATCAGGTGTAAATTTGTACGTTTGATTGGCTCCAGTAGGTGCTAGAAGGTAAGATCCACCCAGTGTTCAGAGAATAAAAAATCAAACTGAGTCATGCGTGGCTTTGTTTTATACTCTTCCGTTTGAATTTTTTTTAATGAAATAAAGTTAATTGCATCCTAACTTGCATTATCTTTTCTAATGATGAAATCATATGGAAGAACAATGAAGGGGTGAGTCTGGACAACCTTGAGGTTGTCTGTGAATTTTCTCTGTGTGTGTGTGTGTGTGTGGTGTGTGTGTGTGTGTGCGTGCACGCACGTGTCCGTGTGCTGTGAGAGGGAGGAAGAGAGGGAGGGAGGGAAGAGGAGAGAGAGAGAGAGAGAGAAGAGAGAGAGAGAGAGAGAGAGAGAGAGAGAGAGAGAGAGAGAGAGAGAGAGAGAGAGAGAGAGGATTGTTCATAATATAAACATTTAGTTCTTCCAACATAAAATGACTTGCAAGAAAACAGAAATGCCCTCAATTTGCTGAATGATAGTAACCTTTGTTTTTAAATTTTGAGATGGTCCCTGAGCCCCAGAGAACCATAGATTTGTTCCATTGGTAATGAAGGCTCCTCCAAAGAGGGTTTCCACCTGCTTTCCTTCTTTCTTTCCTCCCTCCTTTCCTTCTTCTTTCTTTCCTCCCTCACTTCCTTTTTCTCTTTCTTCCTTCCTTCTTTCCCATCAGGAAAGTCCCATCCTTGCCCTTTGACCACCTGCCATTATAAGGCTCCATTTCTTTCTGTTTCTACTGTCTCAGGAGGTTGAAAGGTTTTCATCTGGACATTTTGCAAGCTATTGATTCTCCTCTTTTACAGGTTTGAGGATCCTTCCACGTGGTGATGGGAATTCCAGCTCATCTTCAGTTTTTTCCTATTCTTTCCTGTATTCCAGGCTACAAAGCCTGGTTTACCTGGATCTACCAACCTTGCCAATGCATGCATCACCCCTTCCCACATCCCTTGAGTTTATTTCCCATGATTGTCTTGAATATATGTTTATTTAAATAAACCACCATGCATTCAAAATGTAACAGCAAATGAAAATTTTACTATTGGAAGAGTAAGGATTGTTGTGAGTTATTAAATGCTATTTAAACATCATCATATCCTGTAGTAGCATCTGCACATTCATTCCCCTGGTTTTCCTGAAGAGAAAGGCTGTAATCTGCTAAGTGAGACCAAGACTCAAATTAATTTATAGAATTGAGAGTATTTGTTAAGTGCTAACGATGTGCCAGGAACTATGTTAAATGCTGAGTTACAAGGACAAACAAGCAAGGCAGTCTCTGTCTTCAGTGAGCTCCCATTTTAATGGGAGCAGAACTAGCAATGCTGTAACTAATGGTCAGTTTGGGAGAAATCGGAGAAGATTTTTGGCTTTTCCCTGCTACCCCTGATGCCACCATTGCAGAAGCCTCTTGCTTTCTGTAGAAAGGATCACAGAATCACAGATTTAGTGTTGGAAGAGACCTCACCAATCCTTGGGTCCAACTTCCTCCCTTTGAAGATGAGAAAGTGACTTGCTTGGGATCACACAGCTAGTAAATGTCTGAGGCAAGATTTGAACCCAAGTCTTTCTGACTCCAGTTCTAGTGTTCTATCCACTACAGCAATCCCATCATCATTGTAGTTGTCTGAGGCTCAGAAAGGGAAGATTACCTACCCAGGGTCATATGTCTAGTGAACGCCAGTTCTTGACTACATGTGCCTCAATCTATCTGTTATATGGTGATGTTTTCTTAGTAGGAACCAAGGAGGTGCAGGGGATGAGCCGAATTTAGATAGAAAGATGAAGAAAGGAGTAAACAGAGTCTTCCTTATCACCTTTTGACACAACATAGAATGTGTTAATCAAATTATGCTAAAATTTGTGGAACTCTTTTCCACCTTCGTGCTCGAGTGCTGAGTACTTACATGCATCTGTTAGCTCATTCCACCAAATGATGCATCTCATGATTCATCCCCGCCGGCCCACCCTGGGCCACCCTTGTCCATGTCAGGTCTGTCCAACACGCTATCATTGTGAGGATTATGGCAGCTCACTCTGGCTGTCCACCTGTTATCCTTCATCCTCACCATGTGACCAGCCCATCTTCTCTCCCTGCCATTTCTTTCCTTGATGACATATTTTCACACTGGACCAATCTTTTCAGGGAGATGCTGTAACCTGCTTATACTTACCACAACCCTTTCCCTTGATGTAATCATTGATTTTCAATCCAAACAACCCAGTAAAAAATAACCGCTACAATGACATTTAACTCAGGGCTGTTTAAAATTAATGTATAGTTACCAAGTAACAGAATCTAGGATCTCATTCTACATTTGATATTTTTCATCAAACTCAAGCAATGCCCACAAATCATATCTTCATATAAAATTCTAAAACTAAAGGCCCATGGACAGCCAAAAAACCAAACGAGTCATGTCATACATGCCAGGTTTGTTGCTGCAAGGAACCGGGATTTTGTCAGAGGGGGCCTTCCTTCCACACAGACTGGCACCCTTCTGTGTCATAGCAGATGGCCTTTAAGAGCTGCTGTGACCAGAGTCCATCCCCCTGTAGCTACCCTGGTGATGTGTCTCTCTACAAATAGTAGTAGTAGTAGTAGTAGTAGTAGTAGTAGTGGTAGTAGTAGTAGTAGAATCCAAAGTTTTAAGGTTTGCAAAGCAAGTTAAGATATTATCTCATTTTATCCTCACACCTGGAAGGTAGATGCTATTATTAACCCCATTTTACAGATAAGGAAACCGAGCCAGACAGAGGTTAAAGTGAATTACCCAGGGTCACACAGGTCGAAAGTGGCTGAGACAGGATTTGAATTCAGGTCTTTGTGACTCCATGGGGCCTTCTCACCCCCTCCACTTAACCAGGCTGCTTCCTGGATGAAAGACTGCAGGCTTGTCCTCAAAGCCTTTGTAGTTTGGTTGGACTTGCAGACTTTGATGGCATCTGCTTTGGAGAGCCCAGAGGCACCTCCAGGTCATTATGAGGCACCAAAGAAGGATGTCATTGGAGGAACACACACACACACACACACACACACACACACACACACACACACACACACACACATATGCAACATCCTCTAATGAAAGCCCAGTGACTCTGCTGTTCCTTGGCTTAATCTAGCCTAGAATACTTCAGAATCTAAAACATGTAAAGGAAGGAAAATCTGATTCAATGGCCATGCCTTCTGCCAAATATTTCAGTGTATCTGTGAGTTATGGTGTCCACATTCTCTTCTCTGGTGCAGGGCACAACCTTCCCCTCCGTGCTTCCCCGTCCTGTACCTTTCTGGTCTGTGTCCTTCCAATATCCTCTGCAGGAGGTCTTCCACCTAGCACCACCTTGCCAAATGTTCCTCATATTTATGTTTCTTTTTAATTTGGGGTTAAAGTTAATGCCTCTAATGAAAAATTTCAAAAAACCTCATTGATTTTAACAAATAATAATTCATCACCTATAATTATTTTTAAAAATAAAGAAATTATATCAGACGTGGATAGAGGTCTGGCCTTAGCTTCAAGTTATATAGATGACACATAATGGTTGTATTGACCCTGGGCAAGTCACTTCCCTGGGACCCTGGAATTTATCTTTATCTTTAATACTTAAAATAGATCTGAGGCTGGTCTGCTCTGGTAGAGGGTCTTTCCTCACTGGGAATGCCTTCCACTGATGAAATCATAAGTCTAATTTAAAAAAAAAAGGTTCCCAGTTCCCTCTTAGAGGATGGCCATTACACAGAGGTGGCAAAAAAGAAAAGGGGGGGGGTGAGTTAATGCAGCCTTTGACAGCACGAGTGTGGGGCCTTTGGCATTCTCTAGCCAACTCTTGGTGACACAGTGGAGAGAGCGGTGGACTTGGAATCAACAAGACCCGGCTTCTAATCTGGCCTCCGATATTGACTAGTTGTATGCTCCTGAGCAATCCACTTGCTGGACCTCAGTTTCCTCATCTGTAAAATGGGGAGTTAGACTGGCTGGCCTCTAAGGTTCCCTCTAGCTCTCAATCTGGGACCCTCTGATCACGGACCAAGAGAATTCTAGTTTATTCTTTAAGTGATTTGACTCCCCTTAGTGGTTTAGTCCTCAGAAAATGAATCCAGTAGGTACAATGAACCTGGCTACCATACAGGGCCACTGCTCAGATGCTTGGCTCAGAAAGACTGATTTAGCATCCAGGGGCCTGCCAACCCAAAGCATATTTCAATGACAATCTGGTGGAGTAGGGACTTTGGAATCCCACCTCACAGTGGGCCTGTCACAAGTGCTAATGAATCTTTTCCAGACTCTGGCCAGCAAATTACCAAGGGGAAGCCGAAAGCCACTGAGGGAGGACACTCAGAACCTCAGAGCCCTGTTTACACTGATGCTGGGCTGAAGCCTGGGGGCTCTTTGCACATTCACCACTTTGAGCACCCCTGGTTTATCCTTCTTAATAAGCAGGGGCAATAAGCTGATTTGCCAACTGAAAATCACAGATTCGGTATTCTGTGGGAAGTTCTTGATGCGAGCATCAGAAATCATGACAATAACACCGTTATTCAATGATTAGGGGGCCATTATTAAAGAAAGTCATATATTGAATAGAGGTATCAGTGGCACATTCTTTCTTTGTGTGACTTAGAATTATGGTGATATTGTCAAAACTAAATGATTTCTTTTTCTTCTGCCAATTAGAGCATTAGATTGATGGGAAGTCATTTGGAATGCCTTTCTCTAATGAATTCCTACCTAGTCTATCTGTAATTCATTTTATCTATCACTGGGGTTTATTTACTAATGGATTATGCAAGAGCTCCAAATTTCACCCATCATCATGGTGTCAGAAAGGCACAATAGATAAAGGGCTGGCTACCTTTGGGGTTAGGAAGACCTGCCTTAGACATACACTGTTCCACAGTGACCCTGTGGAAATCACTTAATCTCTCAGTCTCCCTCACCCACCCCCATCCTCACTGGAAGTTCCCCACATGGATGAAATAACAGATCTAGACCAAATACCAATACCATTCCTGATAAGAGTGGTGACATGGCTCAAAGCTTATACTGGACTTTTAGAACATCAGCTGGATATGTGGATGACTGAAGTGAATGAGATTGATTCCAGAAGAAAATTACATAAATGCAATTCCTCCTGAGATTTTATGGCTTCCCTCCATATTCTTTGAGGAGATCCAAGTACTGTTCATGAAGGTCCTTAGCATGAGCTCCCCTCCAGTTCACTGCCCATTACTCCCTCCATTCCAGGCAAATGAGAATCTGAGCCGCTCCCACCACCCAACGTCCCATCTCCTGCCTCCGTACCTTTGACCAGGGAGTTCTCCCTACTAGGAGCTACCTCCTCTCTTCCACATCTTAGGCTTCTTAGCTTCCTTCAAGACTCAGACAGGTGAAGTAAATTGCCCAAAGTCACACCAGTAGTAAATAGCAGGGGTCAGGAATTTGGGGCTATCACATCTGACTCCAGATTCAATACTTTCCCCACTGTGGCATAAATCCTTGAGCATTTGGCCTTGATATGTGCAGCAAACTACCCAGCTCCAGATAGAGAGCTGATGGACTCAAAGAGAAGACTGAAGTATTTTTTTTTTTTGGCTAGGCAATGTGGTTAAGTGACTTGCCCAGAGTCACACAGCTAGTAAATGTTATGTTTCTGAGGCCAGATTTGAACTCAGGACCTCCTGAATCCAGGACCGGTGCTCTATCCACTGTGCCACCTAGCTGCCCCAAAAGCAATACTGTGAGCATAGGAATGCATGCAGCATGGGCCAGGTGTGTCTAAGGGTACCAGCATACCCTAGGCAAGCACTACTATTGGGTCTTCCATAGGTGTATAGACTCACCTGTCGTAAATGTTGACTGTATTGAAAATTCACTTAGTTCATCTACTCAATTCATAAACCTTCTGTAGGACTTTTCTGAGGTTAAACCAGAGTGTTTAACTATGTCTCAATAGATGCAGCCCTGGAGTCTCCTGATCAGTGTTTGTGACTATATACTTGCCTATGAACCCAGTGTTAAGGTTTAGGGGTGCTGGGACCCCAAAATCACAACACACAGGTCCTGCCCAAATGAATTCGTACTAAGTCTTC